AGCCAAGGAAGCTTCATCTATATTCACAGCTGCTCCCCATTGCTGGCATCACCGCGTAAGCCCTGCTTTCTGTCAGATCAGCGAAGGCACTAGATTCGCATAGGAGCACTAACCCTACTGTAAACAGGACATGGGAGGGATCTACGTTGCTCTAGATGGTCCTGAGCATCTCATTACCCTAGAGAAGGCCTGACAAGGTACCGCCTCTTTCTTTCCGGAGCCCTACAACCCCACATTTAACAATGTGAAGTGAGTTATTTAAACCTGCTGGACCAGTTTCCTCATCTATATTAAGGGGTGATGACTCCACCTAGCTCATAGGTCCTGTGGGAATCAATGAGATCACTGTGGGAAGAGCCTAGTGCAGTCCCTGACACATGCTAAATAAGCACTTCAGGATACATCCCTTTTCTTCTTCCAGGAGATGGTTTTGCACTGTCCGCTTCGCTACACCAGCTTCATATAAGCTCCTGGAGGCTGGCTTGTCCCCAGGGGCCAGGCCACCTTACAAATGATGACTTGACCACAGCAATGTCATGAGCAGGAAGAATATGAGAAGGGGCAACAAAGAGGAGAAAGAAATCTGACAGGTGTCCCGAAGCAGCATGTGCCCTAGAAGGGGCTACCAGCGCTAAGTAGTTAGTAGGTGCTGGGGCGCAGAGAAAACGCTGGTAACCAATCCTCCCCTAAATCCTGATTCGATCCCAGGTTCAACTCATCAGGTCATGGACGAGCCCTTTGCCACTTTTCTTCCAAAGCCACTCAGCAGTCTGTGGAGCTCATACTGAGAAAAGGGAAGCTTCTTTCAGCAGTCAGTACACAAAACCGTACAAAGCCTTTTGTTTTAAGGGCTATCAGGCATTAATGCCTTTACAAGCTGGCTCTATGGACCGGGTGGGAAAAAGTGGAAAAGGAATTAATATATTTTTGACTAAGCGCCCGACCATGTGCTAGGCAGAGAACAAGCATGCGAAGTGGATGGTACCATCCGTACTTTACAAAGGGGAAAAGTTCTGAAAGGCTTGCTCAAGGCAGAGTACATAGGGAATGGCGAACCAGGAGTCAAACGCACGTCCCTCCTCTTTCCCCACCTGGCAAGCACAACCCGGGTGAGGGTTGCTAATACCAGCGAGGCGGGGGAGGGGCCACGCGATCTGGAGCTGGGGGTGCGGCCTGGCCCCGCGTGTCCCGAGTCCACAGCGCTGCCCGGAGGACCCGCGGGCCCCAATCCAGGTACGGTCCCGCCGCACGAGGGCGCGGCCGCCCAGGGTGCCAGGAAATCGGTGCCAGACTGGCCAACGACCAGCCGCGCCCCTCCCCGCCAAGCTCGCGCGCCCGCCTCGTCAGCACCTTTCCCGCAGGTCGGCCCGGCGCGCTGGCCTGGTCTCGGCCCCACAGTGGGTCACGAGGCGGGCGCGGCTTTGTCAGGCCCGGCCAGACCTGCCTGGACCTGGGCTCGGCGCCATTATTCCTTTCCTCCTCCCTTATTCCCCTCCTCCCCGCGCGGGCCTCAGCGCGCGCCACGTCCCCGGCCCCACCCCCACGAGCCACGCGGGGAACCCCGGTGACGTCACCACCCTCCAGCGCTTGCATTCCCGCGCTCTCCAGAAAAGACGCGAAGGTGGTGACGTGTCCCGGGCGCCAGTGCGGCTGCGCAGGCGGCGCCGGCAACTGAACGTCCTGCGGCGCCTCCTCGTGGAAGAAAAGCCGCCAAGGCGGCCCTAAGCGGCGGGGGCGAGAGGAGAACGTGACTGACGCCATCTCGCCGCGGCGAGGGGGCGGGTGCCGCGTGACCAGGCCCCACCCGGCGCGACCCGTTTTTCTTTTTCTCTTTTCCAGCTCTTAGTAGGGAGTGCGGAAGCTTAATTTTGCGCCCTTTCTCTTACTTTGCCTGTTTTCGGACTTATCAAGGTAATATTGTCCGTTACAAAAAATTTGGAGGACAAAACGGGAAAAGATAGGAAGAAAATTATCAGCATCCCCGATCATCTTTAACTTTTCATTATATTTATTTTCAGCCTTTTTCATTTAACAAAATCGTGATCTTATAGTGTAACGGTGACATTAAGTACAAAAATTCCCAAGAAGGGGCAAAAAGCACTATTCAAACCTCAAGGCTAAGTTAAAAGAACAAAAGGAGAGAGTTCAAACAGACGAAAGGAGCGATTCACCCGCAGGGTCTAACTTGCTAGTCACTTTATCCAGCTGAGGAAACTGGAGCTCAGAGGGTTAAACAGCTTGCCCAAGGCTGCACTTATTACTGAGAGGGTGGTAGAACTGGGGTTTCAAACCCAGGCCTTAAGATCTGAACCTTAAGATGGAGGGATTGGGAAACACAGTGAAAAGTAGTGCTTGGGAAAAGGGAGTAAAACGGCAGAAAATTTCCAGAGCTACAAAACCCACTTTTTGCTTCTGGAACTGTGGAGTTAGAACTAGTTCCAAGGAACAAGGCTAGTGCCACCGTCCGTTGGAGTAACCTTGTGGGAGAGTGCCATAAAGCAGCTCACATACACTGCCCTTGCTACATGGTGGGGCCACTAGTTGCTGAGTATCACCAACCACAGCACTACCCTTCCCCATTAGTAGCGGTGAAAGGTCGGAGGGAAGTTACAGTACCAGGTCAGGCATTAGACCTTGCTGCTCAAAGTGCATTGTGCAGTCCAGCAGCATCCCTTCAGTCTAGCACTTTCTGCATCACCTGGGAGCTTGATGATAGAAACGCAGAGTGTTGCACCCCGCCCTAAAACTTGTGAATCAGAATATGCATTTTAATTGGATCCCTGCATGAGTCCTGTGCACATTAAAGTTCAAGAAGTGGTGTTGTAAGTCATCCTGCTCCCTTGGTGAGGCAAGTGGGATGATAGGAAGATGTGAAGGGTGCTTGCAGAGTTGGATGGTGAGAGAACAAGCAGACAGAGCAAGGTCGTTAAAGGAGGATTGAAAAGAAATAAGGAGTATAAGAAAATATCACAAGATGCAAAGGAGGAAAACCAGGAAATCGGGATTTGAGAGATTAAAAAAAAAAGGAAGGAGAAATAGGTTGAGAGGTAAACAGATCCATCTTGGGAAAATTCACAAATAATAGACATACGGGCTGCTCCCTGTGGCTGACTCTTCTGTGTTGTCTGTGACTTGTGCTTGAGACAGTCCAGTTAATTTAAAGGGCTAGGGGAGAGCAAACCCTGCCCATCCCCTTCAGCAGAGTAGAGTGGGATTTCCCCTGGGTTCTTCTAGTGGAGGGCGTGTTCTGGGCTTTTGCTGACATGGAAGAAGAGGGGATAGGAGCTGACTGAGGCACTTACTCTGTAGCTGGGGGCTGGAGTGTGTGTTGGGTGCGTGTGTATGCATATGTGGGCTGGAGGGAAGAGCAGGGCATTGGCACCAACACCCCACAACAGCAGTCATTGAAAGATGGGGTGAATGTGACTGGGAATTGCTAGGCCCAGAAGACCACAGGCCTGATGACTTCTGGTACCTTGAGTCAGGTGGCAGGCCTGCAGACTTTCACTTGGGTGGGTGGTTCTTGGAGTCAGATTTTCTGGAGGTCCCCAAGTGGCTTCTAAATATTAGCAGGCTGTTGAGATGACAGCAGCACTGGTAGAGGCAAGGCCATAGTAGGGTAGAACCAGCTACTGGGTGGAGGAGTAGTAAGTTCTCTTGATGGTCATGATGTCAGGGTGCCTGGCCAGGTTGCCTAGAGGCAGGCAAACTAAGAAGGCATCCCTCTCAGACCCATTAGTACACTCAGTCTGTGTAGTAGACAGGAAGCTGTGTAGACCTGGAGAGTTTTGAGCTGCTCCCTCCAGTGCCCTCAGTGCTTTTCTTGGGGGGTTTTGCCTGTTGGATCAGAGAGCAAGTGGAGCAGTCAGTCCTGTTCCGATGTGGAAGCCATACTTTCAGGCACTTCAGGAGCCTGAAGGCCTACCAGAAAAAGGAGTTGCTCTGTGCTGAGAGCGAATGAAACCCCAGAAAGATGCAGAGGTGGGTCAGATGGACCCTGGTTCCAGGGGTCCCGAGGCCCAGGCATACCCAGCTCTAGCCCAGCATAGGAGTCACAGACTCCTATTTTGCCCAAGCTGGTTAGCTGGTTTTCTCTCACTTGCAATTGAAAACCAAGAGCCTGCTTCATGTGGATTTTTGTCTTCCCAAGGACAATGAAGTATAAGAAATTTATACCAAGGCAACATGATAAAGTGGAAAGAACATGCACTTTGGAGTAAAACTGAATGTTATTTTTAAGGCTGTTTCCAGCAAGATACTTAACCTCAGAGAGGCTGTTTCTTTAACTTTAAAAAAGGAGTAATACCTAAACAAAATAATGAGGATTCAGGCCGGGCGCGGTGGCTCACGCCTGTAATCCTAGCACTCTGGGAGGCCGAGGTGGGAGGATTGCCTGAGCTCAGGGGTTCGAGACCAGCCTGAGCAAGAGCGAGACCCTGTCTCTACTATAAATAGAAAGAAATTACCCAAACAACTAAAAATAGAAAAAAAAAAATTAGCCGGGCACAGTGGCGTGTGCCTGTAGTCCCAGCTACTTGGGAGGCTGAGGCAGGAGGATCACTTGAGCCCAGGAGTTTGAGGTTGCTGTGAGCTAGGCTGACGCCACGGCACTCTAGCAGAGTGAGACTCTGTCTAAAAAAAAAAAAAAAAAAAATAACGATTCAGTGAGAAAAATGATTGAGAATGTAAATGAAAGTGCTTGGCACATAAAAGGCATGTAGGAAATGTTCATTCCCTTCTTTCCTCCTTAGACAGTCTTCTATGTCCTTCAGTATCTCCATTCCATCATCAGTGAACGCAGAAACAGCAATTGTATTTTACCAACTGTTAAACTTTTTGGAGAGTAAAGAAGAAAATATCAAGTGAATATGCAATTACAAGCATTAGTTTGAAATGTCAATATTCCCGTCACACCTGAAGCTCTTTTTCCTATTTCACTATCAGCTAAATCCCCCCAAAACTTTATAATTTTATAATCAGGCCAACATGAGAAATAATTTGGAAAAACTAGTGACACTGTGCTTTATTTGAGAACAGAATAAAGAGCATGGCTAAAACTCTGCCTGGATGGTCCTTAACATTCTGCCCTAACCAGGGTATGATTAACTTTCCAACACTATTGGTGTAAGGCTGAGTGCTGCTAACTTCTTAGAGAATTAGAAAAAGGTTGAAACAAATTCTAAAGGTGAATCCGTAAGAAGGAAAATGAGCTGGATTTCTTTTTGTTCCTTTTAAAAATACTGCCCAATGTATAATGAAGACTCTACACAGCAGCACCAAAAAGGCCATTTACAAGAAGAGTTTTTCTTCAACAGAATCCACTTGAAAGCGTTGAGAAATTGTTAACTAAGCTAAGAGCAGTTTACTAAGGAACAAAGCCAGATATCTAAGTGCCTAACTAGTATTTAAAGTTGTCAAGGGTTGGGGATGTGCAAATTTAGCAGCAAAAAGACTCTCGTTTTGCCTCAAGGGAAAGTGATAGTGGTCAGAGGGGCCAGTTCCAAGGGCTGGTCCAGGGGAGGCTGCTGGTCTTGGTACTCTGCCATGTGCCCATTCCGGTGGTGACCGTACTCAAACTTGATCCGCAGCTCGCCAATCTTGGATTGGGGAAGGATATCTGGGATCCACTCGATAATGAAAGGTGTTGGCTCCTTTTGATCTGGGGAAGTGTTGCCTAAAGAGAAAAAAAAAGGAACACTATTAGTACAATTCCACCTGACTCAAATGAGTGTTCCTAATAGGAAGAACCTTGACTTGGAACAGAGACTATACTCAGCTTTGATAATTAGAAGGCTGCGTAGGGTTTGCAAATTCAGTGGTAATTGGAGTATCAGATTTCTTTGTCATCGTGAAGTTAAAACATATATTTAAAAATGTTAGGTCTTTCTTACTGATGCTGCAGGTTACGGTGACAACTGGATGGCAAATATGAAACAAAAAAATTCAGATTCAATAACTTCTACCTGCTGGCCAAAAGACTGAAGCCTTTCAGGAGAAAAGTGAAAAAAAGGCCAGGCAAAGTAGCTTATACCTGTAATCCCAGCACTTTGAAGGGCTGAGGCAGGAGAATTGCTGGAGGCCAGGAGTTCGAGACCTATGTCTCAAAAAAAATTTTTTCAAAAAATTGGCCAGGCATGGGGGCACACAACTGTAGTCCCAGCTACTCAGGAGGCTGAGGCAAAAGGTTTGCTTGAGCCTAGGAGTTGAAGGTTACAGTGAGCTATGATTGTGCCATTGCACTCTAGCCTGGGTGACAGAGCAAGATGGTGTCTCAAAAAAAGAAAAAAAAGCAAAAACAAAAATTTTTTAAATCTATAAATATAAGAAAACAAGAAGGATAGAGGAAAAAGATCCTGCCTAATAATGTATATACCTTTTTCTCTCAGCACTACTTACCTCTGACTTCATAAGCTAATATTTCATTTTTGACTTCACTATCTTATTCTCCCTAAACTTTACCCCAGTCACCCCTTCTAAATTCCTCCCCTCCACTTCTTTTGGTCATTTCCTTCTCACAATGACCAAGACATCACTTATATGATGAGAAACAAAGCTTCCACCCACCCCAAACTAATAACCCTGTGGGCTTGTGTGTTTTGGTCTGTTTGGTTTGTTTTAGACATAGAATACATGTCTGTTTGTCACAAACATATTCTAGTTTCCATTTCAAGTGATATCTGGCTAAAAACTCTCCATGGAGCTGCTACCGACTTTTCACTTAAAGACCAATGAAGACATAGAAAAAGCTGAAAACTGACAATAATAAGACCACTGGCAGCATCCACGAGTAAATATAAAACAGGTGGCGATGGATGGAGAGAAACCTACCCAGGCTTCTGCCATAGCAAACCCCAGCTTTCGTTCGTAAAGGAAGGCTGCATGGAAAAAGGAAGATACTTTGTCCCTCCCATTTGTGCCCTGGCTTATATTATACTTGTACCAAGAGGCTGACGCCACGGCACTCTAGCAGAGTAAGACTCTGTCTAAAAAAAAAAAAAAAAAAAATAACGATTCAGTGAGAAAAATGATTGAGAATGTAAATGAAAGTGCTTGGCACATAAAAGGCATGTAGGAAATGT